TGGCAACCTCCAAGAGTAACAAGCACCACCGGCTTGCAACTCGATCACCTAATGCCACTCGATGCAACTTCACGATGCAATCGCACTAGAATCGCTCACTCACACAATCGAATGATCACTATCAAGTATATGTGTGATGGAGGGCTTCCAAGCACTCACAAGCATAGACACTGAGTCCCCTTAGGTGCTCAGCTCACGCCATGGCTGAGGGCCTCTTCTATTTATAGCCCCAAGGGCTAAACTAGCCGTTACCCCTTCACTAGGCAAAAGTCGGGACGACCGGACGCTCCGGTCCGATCGACCGGACGCTGGACCTCAGCGTCCGGTCACGCGATACTCGCCACGTGTCCCCTCCTTCAAACGTTGTTCACTGGATCTCAACGGTCATCTGTCGACCGGACGCTCCAGCATGAAATGACCGGACGCAGCAACCCCAGCGTCTGGTCGTTTCCAGTAAGGTTCCAGAAACAACATTTCACGACCGGACGCATCCGGTCGATCGTGATCGGACGCAACACCAGCGTCCGGCCACTCTCCAGCTTCTGCTCTACCTGCGTCACCATACGTCAGCTCTGACCGGACGTCAGGACCCCAGCGTCCGGTCACTACGTGACCAGCGTCCGGTCCACTCTGTGAGACCCTGTCTTTTCTGTCTAGGGCGCCAGTGGCACCGTCGGACTGTCCACACTCTACGGGCGGACACTCCACCGGTGGAGTTTCTCCTTTCGCATCCATTTCTTCACCGAGTTGATCCACATCAACTCCAACTTCATCTCCTTTGTAAATGTGCCAACCCCACCAAGAGTACACCACCATGTGTATGTGTGTTAGTATTTTCACAATCATTTTCCAAAGGATTAGCCACTCAACTTGCCACGCCACTCGATCCTAGCAACGATGCAAAGTTAGATCACTCGAGTAGCACTAGATGACCGATATGCAAACAAGTTTGCCTCTCTTGATAGTACGGCCATCTATCCTAAACCTGGTTATAAACTTCTCTACACACCTATGACCGGTGAAATGAAATGCCCTAGGTTATACCTTTGCCTTGCGTCATTCCATTCCATCTCCTCCAACGTCGATGCAACACATGTACCAACACGATCAACAATGATATGATCCACTTCATATCATCACGTGATCATATTGGTTCATCGATCTTGACTTCACTTGCTCTTCACCGTTGCCATCGTCCATCGGTGCCAAATCTTGCTTAAGCTTCACCGCCACGTGGTCCATCACTCCAAAGCCTCCGACTTGCCCTTCACGTTTGCAACCGGTCCATCAAGCCAAGTCTTGTCTTGATCTTCTCCACCTTGATCACATGACTCAATGTCATGTCTCATTTGCAATAAGCTCCTTCATCATCACATGTGTGAGCTTTGCAACATCTCCAAGCCATTGTCACCTTCATGGCATATGTTGCTCACACACATGTACCTGTGGACTAATCACCTATGTATCTCATATAAACACAATTAGTTCACCTAGGTTGTCACTCAATTACCAAAACCAAACAAGGACCTTTCAGGTGGAGCGGCATGCACCGTGCTGATAATTGTGGTCCACGAGTGTGGTCGGCCTCACGCTCAAGGCGGGTGTTAGGTTGAGATGGCGGACTAGAGGGGGGTGAATAGTCTTTTCTAAAATTAATCGCGTCGGCTAACCGAAACAAGTGCGGAATTAAAACTATCGGTCTAGCCAAGACTACACCTCTCTATCTATGTTCTCTAGCACCTTCCAAAGATACTAATTAAGCAACAAAGGTGTCAGACTAGCTAGAGCTCACCTAACCAATTCTAGAAGCAAGGTCACACAAACCTATGCCACTAGTACTTTGAGCAACAAGGGAGCTCCTACACATGCTAGTAAGCAAAAGCACAAAGCCACCTAAGCTCACTAGCAATGCTCAATAACAAGGCAACCAATGCTAAATTAGAGAGCACAAATACTTAGCTACACAAACTAAGCAATATGACTAATAAGGTTACACAAACCAAATTAGCCACGCAAGGGAGCTACTTCTATGCTACACAAGCAAGAAGGTAACTAGTGAGCTACACAAGCTAACTAATTACAAGGGCAACTACACAAGCATAATTTATATAAAAGTAATCACAAGCTTGTGTAAGGGGATCGCAAACCAACGGGAAGAACAAGGTTGACACGGTGATTTTTCTCCTGAGGTTCACGTGCTTGCCAACACGCTAGTCCCTGTTGTGTCGACCGCTCACTTGGTGGTTCGGCGGCTAATTGGCATCACCCGTCAAGCCCGTACATCGGGCACCACAAGAACCTACCCCAAAAGTGAGGGTAGCTCAATGACACGCTCAACTAGAGTTGCTCGTCGTGGCTCCCACGAGGCGAGCACAATGCCCCTCACAAAGCTCTTCTCCGGAGCACCGCACAAGCTTCTTGCGGGCTTCGACGGAGACCACCACTAAGCCATCTAGGAGGTGGCAACCTCCAAGAGTAACAAGCACCACCAGCTTGCAACTCGATCACCTAGTGCCACTCGATGCAACCTCACGATGCAATCGCACTAGAATCGGTCTATCACACAATCGGATGATCACTGTTAAGCATATGTGAGATGGAAGGCTCCTAAGCACTCTCAAGCATGGACACAAAGTCCCCCGAGGTGCTCAGCCCCAACCATGGCCGAGGCCACCTTCTATTTATAGCTTCACGGGCTAAACTAGCCATTACCCCTTCACTGGACAAAACTCGGGACGACCGGACGCTCCGGTCGTATCGACCGGACGCTCTGGTCATATCGACCGGACGCAGGACCTCAGCGTCCGGTCAATGGATGCTTGCCACGTGTTGCCTCCATTTAACCTCAGTCGCTTGATCTCAACGGTCAAGTGATGATCGGACGCAGCTGTTCAAAGTGACCGGACGCAGCAACCCCAGCGTCCGGTCGTTTTCAGTAAGGTACCAGCTGCGACCGGACACGTCCGGTCGGTCACGATCGGACGCAGCATCAGCGTCCGGTCCTTCTCCACCTTCTCAAGATTGCCCTCTCCATCGTCGTCGGCCTTATACGGACGCACCCTTCGGCGTCCGGTCACTTTCAGCCGCAGCCGTTCGTCAAGACCGACACGTGACACGCTGCGCTCTCTGCCGCCACTGATCGGACGCAGGACCCCAGCGTCCGGTCACCACGTGACTAGCGTCCGGTCCACTCTGTGAGACCCTATCTTTTTGTATAGGGCGCCGGTGGAGTTTCTCCTTTCGCTTCTGTTTCATCACCGAGTTGATCCACATCAACTTCAACTTCTTCTTCTTTGCAAATATGCCAACACCATCAAGTATACACCACCATGTGTATGTGTGTTAGCTTTTCATAAACATTTTCCAAAGGATTAGCCACTCAACTTGCCACGCCACTCGATCCTAGCGACGATGCAAAGTTAGATCACTCGAGTGGCACTAGATGACAGATATGCAAACAAGTTTGCTCCTCTTGATAGTACGGCCATCTATCCTAAACCCAGTCATAAACTTCTCTACACACCTATGACCGGTGAAATAAAATGCCCTAGGTTATACCTTTGCCTTGCACATTCCATTCCAACTCCTCCATTGTTGATGCAACACATGCACCAACCAATCACCAAATGATATGATCCACTTCATATCATCACGTGATCATATTGGTTCATCGATCTTGACTTTACTTACTTTTCACCGTTGCCTTCGTCCATCGGCGTCAAGTCTTGCTCAAGCTTCACCGCCACGCGGTCCATCGCTCCAAAGCCTCCAACTTGCTCTTCACGCTTGCAACCGGTCCATCAAGCCAAGTCATGTCTTAATCCTTCTCCATCTTGATCACATGACTCAATGTCTCAATGTCATGTCTCATGTGCAATAAGCTCCTTCATCATCACATGTGTGAGCTATGCAACATCTCCAAGCCATTTTCACCTTCATGACATATGTTGCTCACACATATGTACATGTGGACTAATCACCTGTGTATCTCACATAAACACAATTAGTCCACCTAGGTTGTCACTCAATTACCAAAACCACACAAGGACCTTTCAGCAGCCCGTGTGGTGGCGTCGTCCTTTGGCTAGGGGTGCACGCAAGGGGTAGCTTCGCTGCCAGCCACGGCAGTGCGGGCCAAGAGGCAGCACAGCGCTCGTTCAGGTGTAGCTGGTATCCGTTCTCGGTATGCACCACATGTAGAGCTCGCACCCGTGGCGATGAGCCCAGCGCGTCGTTGCCATGGTCCAGGTCCTGACACTCCACCTCCATGACATTCTCTTCTGTTCTGTGGCCGTTCTCTACGGTGTGAGTCCATCTCGGAGCTCCGGTGTCCTGTAGGATAGCTTCAACTCCCTCGAGAACGCAAGAGCTTGTAAGAACCATGAGCACCACGTCCGCGAACACCGACGCGAACGACTGTAGCGCCAATGCCAAATTCTTGGCCTTGGCCGCCTCCTCTTGAGGTCCGTCCTTACCCATGTCGGCCGGCAAGGTTGTTGCTGTCGCTGCCACTCCGCACTCCCTGCACCGTGTCTCGCTTGTAACCAGCTTGCCGCGCTCCTCAACGACCACCTCATGTGACCCTGCGACAACTTTGGATTTCTGCCTAAGCATCCGCCGTCGGCAGCGAGAAGGAGCATGAGCTGGTGCTCTGGCGCTCCACATCGAATCGAGGGAGGACCAAGAGTAGGACCCAACGTTTGTTTCTATCAGCCGTTTGGAGGTGGATTTCACGACGTTGCTATGCCACCGTGATAGAATGCTATAACGGTGCTGTCTTTCAGTGATACGTTACATGACGAACCACTTTGGATAGTATTTCACGAGAGTGGAGTTCTTTCGTCGCTGTTAACCAATTTTTCCTTAATAAAACCACTCGGACAGGTCAATCACTACTAGTGCATCGATCAGTGCTCCCTGCGGACAAGAAAAGCGGACTGCTTCGTTCAAGGTTCAACTCCGAGAGAGAGCTTCGAGCCAGAGCGAGGGCCGAGGAGACGATGGTCGGGATCTTCTCCAGGTTCTCCGCCGGCGCCCACCGCCGCTCCAAGAGCGTGGCCGTGAGTTCTCTCCTCGCCCTCTTTCTCCTTTCCCTATCATGCCCCATTTTGTACTTCCATGTCGTTTCTGCTGTAGTTTACTTCCCCAACTCCAAGAAGGGATCTGCTTGTTTATAACCATATCAGGTCAACAGTAGGTTAGCTTAGCTTCTTCAAGCCGTGCAAGGGTCAGATTTGGGCTGGTTTCATTTGATCCCCTATTTGCTCATGGGAGGATTCTGCTGTCTCAAAGACTCGGCATCTCACCTTTTAGTTCCTCTTCTGATTCCTTGATCGGGATGGTTTTAGCTTGCCGTTTTTGTTGGATTTTATTTATGTTATCTTTATTTTTCTGGCATTCCATTGAATTTGAATGGCCTTGCAGCTGAAAAATTGGGGAAAGTTGAGTGCTTTTGTTCTCACTATAAATCTCTTCATGAGAAATTTTACAATTACTATGTAGTCAGGTGGAATTATTGGTTGGCTAAAGCCAAGCATCAGAAGTAACCCTAGTGAATTTGTGCAATCGGACCTTACTGTGATCAAGTCTCGCCTAATTTATGGGAAATCCGCTTTCATCCTGCAGGAGGTTGTCGAGACGTTGGCCCCCAGCATGAGTACAGGAGAATCTGATCCAGCAGCTGTTCCTGCAGAGAGCCCTCACGGTATTGAGGTTGGCGTTGAGTTCAAGCCGGTGGAGCACCCTGTGGAACCTCTCAATCTTGACGAGCCAGTAAAATGCCCACTTCCTGAGCCATCTATACTGCATGTAAGCCATCTGTCAAGGGCAGTAATGCCCAAGGTAGGAGGACCTCGACTACGCAGGTCGTAGTCTTGGTCCGTGTTTGCCGGCAGGGTTATACCCCCACGCCGAGCTTCACGTCGACCGGGTTATTCCCCCTGGCCGCCGGCTTCAAGAGAGAGAGAGAGGAGATTAGATGGGAATAATCTTTGTTACCTCCAAAGGGTACAGCCGTACAGCATATATATGGCCAATGGCCTTACAGATGGAGAAGGATCTCCTTAATTGTAGGACTACCAAATAAAGTAAACTAAATAAGGTAAAGATAGCTACTTTCCCTCCTAGCCACTCGCCTGCTGCTCCTGCGCCCTTGATGCCCGCTCAGCCGCCCGGCGTACGTCGCGTGCCCTCCTACGCCTGCTGTACGTGCGGCCGTACATGACACCATCCTCTTGGTGCTTATTGAAAAATCACTCTAGAAAATCACGTTGTTGATAAGGAGAGTAATTTTCTTGTCTTGCAGCATTCAGCGACGAACGTTACTAGGAAACTTTCTTTGTTGCGGAATGTAGTGTTAAACCATTTTAGGAATCTTGGTTACTCGATGCTTGAACTATCATTTCCCTTGTAGCAAAAGCATCATTCGGTGCAAACTTATTGATGCCTAATTGGTCCTAATTGATTGATGGATGCTAGGATAGGAGGATAGGAGGTGTTTTCAGTATCAAATGCAGACCATATTAGCAATCTTTCTTGTGTTGTAGACTTAAGTGTTAATCATATTAGCGATCTGCCTTGAGTTGCAGAATCGAGTGTTGTGCGAACAGCAAACTGCCAGATATCATCTTACCTTTCTGATTATCAGTCTGGTCTTGTATGCTTGAAGTTCAATATTTCCTTAACAGCAAAGCATCGGATCTTTCAGACTTTACTTGTTCCCCTTACTGGTTTTATTGGCTGATGGTCTGATGAATGCTAGGATGGGAGGATATGGAAGGAGAAAATGTCTTCAGTCAGTACGAGGGTGAGAACAGACTTGAAGGTGTGAAGGAAGGGTCGCAGCTCGAGCCTGACAGTAGCAGTGCTAGGTCACGATCCGCAGTTCCAAGGCGTGCCATATTGCCCTCCGTAAGCGCGCCTGAGCACAACATCCTAGCGCTGCTTGACGAGTGCGACGTCTCTGGGAGCCGTGGCTCTGCTGAATGAGCTTGAGTTGGGCGTCGCCAGCACATTGTAGCTAAACTGTGTTTTGGCATCTGCCTCTGCCTGTATCTCTTCCACTTGTCAAGCGCCACGAGCTGATCTGAATACAGCAACCTTATGTCTGAAAAAAAATTAGAACTACACAACAGATCTTTTGTCTGGATTGTATCAATAAATACGAGTGAAAGCATTTTGGGGGAGATGTCTCGCACTTGTCGAAGGCAGTAATGGTTACTGAAACGGTTGTGTTGTAACTTTGCACTGTTGAGTGCCTCAACGTGACGCCCAGTTGTCAAGTGCAAACTGTACTGGAAAATTTGTTACGGGTAAGCAGTGTTTGCTATTTACAAATCCCAATTCGCTTGCCCGTAGATTTGCCTCTGCCGCCAAAGTCGCGGCGCCGTCCAGCAAGATGGCAGGCATCTGTTTCGGCACAAAAAAACCGTCAGGCCTGAGTCACTGGGCTCGTGGCCATGACATGCCTGGCGTCTGGAGGAGACGGTGGCGATCGGTTAGGGTCAGGCGGTTCGATGACCTGGCCACCTGGGAGCCGGTTGGAGAACAAGGGGGCTAGCCGGCTAGGCGTGTTTAGCCGTTTGGTTGTGACAAATGACAATGCTGCATCTACGGTGAGAGAATGACAATGCTGCATCTACGGTGAGAGAATGTCACGTATACGGTATACCTATCGGCGGCGCGCGCCGCCGAATATGGGTGGACGAAACTGCTCAATTCATTCACGGCCATCCGTACGATACAGATACAAAAGTGCAAAACAATGCCGAAACCATTACAGCTACTGCCGATTATTTGTCAGTAAATCAGACCATTTTATTACAAGCAATTAGTAAGAAGATAGAAGACTGACCAAAAAGTATCATGCATCAAAACGGCCAGCTTTTTGGGTGTGACCTATCGCCAAAGTGTCCATCACAAGCCACATGTAATCCTCTCTCTTATCAAGTTACCATCGCCTACCACCGAAGACCCTCTAGTAGGGTGAATGGAGCAAAAGAATAACACGGGGCATGGAAAACGCCTGCCCGATGAAGCAATCTATCCCGGGAAAAATCACAGTACATGCCACGGCAAAATGGGGATGAATGGAAAAAAAATGGTCAACCTAGGCATTCTGCTTTGGCTCCTCACCGGCTAATCTTCTCCGCTGCTGGTGCTCAGCGACCTTGTAGTCCACAACCTCACGGAACAGGCCTGGGGTGAGCTCGCAGTCCTTGCTCCCGTAGACAGCGGCCTGGACACTTGCCATCATCTTCGCTATCTCTCTACCAGAGAAGCCCTGGGTCTTAGACGCTGCCTCCCGGATCAGGTCGTCAGTGATGCCTTTCACCTCGATCTTCTGGGGCTGGCGGCGGAAGAACCGGAGCCAGCTCTTCTCATGTTTGTCACCAGCTTTGACGATGTACTTGTCCAGGTATAGCTTCAGGAGCTTGAATCGCTCATCTTCCCCAGGCAGGGGAAATTCCAGGACCTCATCAATACGGTCAGCGACAGCAGAGTCAAGATCACCGGGCCTGTTGGTGGCAAGTGCAAGGACAATGTCCTTGGATTGGTCACCTGTGCGGAATAGGAGAGCATTCAGGGCACTCCTTTGAGCTTCACTCATGTAAGTTTTGTTCCGTCTGCAGGGTACAAAAAATCAGTCTGAGATGTCAACACTACAGTTTGCAAATTAAGGGTGAGAATACTACAATGTGCAAGTTCAGGGCAAGAAAACACTCAAATCATTGGTGCAATACAATTCTATTAGGGGCCGTTTGGATCCTTTCATTTGGAGGAATCGAAATCTACTTAATAAATTAGGTTATTTGGCTTGGAATTTGATATTCCACCACTTTCCAAAGTTCACATATAAGCCTATCTCAAATTCATAGGGTGGGAGATGTAAATTGGTTCTATAGATCACAATTCTATGTTTGTACTTTGCAACTTATAACACGCTCTTCAATTCACTCCCCTACGATACAAATGCAACACATAAGTATCTCTCTTGTATAGCCAACAATAATATACAAATATAATCCATATACAACCATATTGGCTTAATTAATATACGTCTAAATTATAATTATATTAAAATGAATTCAATTCCAAGGATCCAAACGGGGCCTACAAAAATATTAATAAGTGCAGTGGGCGTTATGGTGGAGCCCCCCCCCCCCACACACACACACACAAAAGAGAAGTTGTACTTAATTTCACTGCTTAACTGCCCCCCTCTCTATACATTTCAAGTCACCGAACAGCTGGTGATTAGTTATAGCTATAGATGATTAGTTATAGAGCCGCGCATTTCTATTGAAAAATCATTTATGATAGATGAATGACTAAATAACATCATAACAGTCAACAATGATAGATTTGAACCCTCTTGGTAATCACGAAAATATCGCTATAAGCTAGCAACAGAAGAAAATTTCTGGACTCCATGTTATGATGCTGAAACTTCAAATGGTGCCATGGAGGTTCAAACAAGAAAAGTATCTGAAGATTTTGTTTTCACTTACTCGCACAAGAAAGCATCTGCTTCATCTATGAAGAGGAGCAAACCCCTATTAGATTTCTTCGCCCAGTCAAACAACTGATGAATCTTGGTGACTGCTTGTGATCCCAATGGTGCAACATCTCCACCAGTCATTAGTGCATAATCTAATCCCTGTAAGTGACGACAACATTAGTGGGACAGTAGCATTTCAAACATTTTTATTAATGCTGAATAGGTATGGTCTATGAAACATACAGAATTGCGAGCTAGTTCTCGTGCTGCCATGGTTTTCCCTGTGCCAGGAGGCCCATAGAAAAGCATGTTCCTGAAAGGTGCTTGATGAAGTTTCGTATTGGCCGTGGCATTAGCAAGCTGCTTCACTCTCTTCTGGAGAGAAGGATTTAGAATAACATCACCAAATCCATTCCCGTCCTTCCCTAGGTTGCTTCCATTCTTCAATTTGCTAGTCAGGGTACTTGTAGCACGTGAGAGGGAGCCAGACCAGGGATATTTCCCTCGTGATGACTCCCTTATCAGTGATGGCTGACCTAGAATCCGATCAACATAGCCCCAGACTACTCTTGCACCCTCCCTGGGGAAAAATATGTGAATCTATGTAAGGGCATCAAGCAGAAAACAAAATTTATGTTCATTTGTGCAGATTCCTCTTGCATCATTTGAAATATATGCACTGGTCTTAAAACAAAATATGGTAGATACAGGAATCATCCAAAGCAAACAAAGGGACAAATTTAGAAGAAATAGAGCAACTAATCATACTGTGACTACTAGAATTCAAACCAGTATATTGCTTAAGATGTAACTCTGGCACCACAATTGGTTTCGTATTCATCATTGAGTTTAAAAGCTGAGGTGGATACACAGCAGCAGTTTAATTCAGTAACTTATGAGCTCCAATGCAGAGTAAGAAACAGCAGAGTTATGGTGAGTGAACCACACAACTAAATCCAGAAATTGAAACATAGACCACCATGAACTTTACCTTGTTGTGTATATCCCTGCAGCAAGTGCTGTTATACCTCCCACTGCTACCACTAGCTTATTCTGATCAGTTAAGATCGTTCGCAAACCACCTAGGGAAAAAGGGAAATAAGATATCACACAACAAAGATGTCGATACAACATAGGAGTAAAAATAGAGTAACATTATGCTGGTACCCATATAGTATCCAATTACCAGTTTTAATTGCAAGTAATAACTATGGAAGTTTCATCAAATCAACCAAGTTATTTGACACAAACCATTGTAAACAGCTTAAGAGAACTGCAGAAAAAGGTCCAATAAAGAACTATTCACTTAGTAAGGTATACCTCCTATATGCTCAAAGGTTGTATTTATCACTTGGATCCACTTCTCCCTGTCAGCATTTATCTCCTCCAAAAGCAATCGCCTTTTCACATCTTCAGTTTGCTTTGTTACTAGTATTCTCCCCTCCGCCTCTGCCATGGCTTTCTTTGAAAGGGTCGCCTGCTCTAGATCGGCCCTATGCCTCTCTGTCTGTCTCCGTTGTTCCTGGATTTGCTCCTCAGTTGCCCGCCTGATCTGCTCTAGCCTAATCCCAGATTCCTCTTGCATCTTCACGAGCTCCTGGTTCCTTAACCTCTGCGCCTCATGTTCAGCCTGCAGTCGCTTCCTTTTTAGCTCATCCTCGTACTGAGCCGTCTGCGTCTTAAATTTAGCTCGTTGTTGATCAAGTTTTTTCCTTTCTTCGAAATCCACCCGTTTTTGCTCCTACAAAATGACTCATGTTACAAAATAAATTTGAGCACAATATAATTCATGACTTAACAAATCAAAAGTACACTCCCTACATTCCAAATTTTAAGTCATTCTGCCTTTTCTAGATACATAGATTTTACTATGTACTAAGACATATCTAGGTGCGTAGCAAAAGCTATGTACCTAGAAAAGCTAGAGCAACTTATACAATTTAAAATGGAGGGAGTACTTAATATCACACCATTTATTATGAGAATGAAACAATCTATACAAATGTAATAAAAGTATAAAACCCCTCCAATAAAAAACAAGTATCTTCCATGCTTGCTGCAAAACTATTTCATTTTCACCAAATATTTTTACAAATACATAGGTCAGTCATATAAAGGGCGTACCCAGTGCAGAGAGCTCCCGCTCTGTGCGGGGTCTGGGGAAGGGTGTCAGTGGCAAGCCTTACCCTCGCCTGTGCAATGCGAGGAGACCGCGACTCGAACCCGGACCTTCCGGTCATAGGCGGTAAGACTCTACCGCTTGCACTAGGCCCGCCCTTCAGGTCAGTCATATGAAAATAAAAAAAGAAAGAGATTTGTCTTGAAAAAACTATGTTATGGAGACTATCAGTGTGCAAAGTGACACTTGTGACTGGAGAAATTATGCAACAGTAAACATCAATTTATCAACCCCTTCATCACAGATCCACACTATTCAATGAATAAATAAGGGTGACATGATCTGAATGAAGTACTTAATGTGTAATAG